GCCTAAAGTAGGGCGGAAATATGAAGTCCTAAGGCTACAGCCAATGGGTTAATCCGGCCCTGGCGAGAGAGAAACGCCCTTAGTTGGCCCAGTCGGGGGTCATTCTGCAACGTGACGATGCACCTCCGCAACGAGCGCCGTAACCTCCGTATCGTGGGATGATGACATCGAAGTGCTTCCACACCTCGACCTTGACCCCAGTGGTCCTCGGTCGTACCCAAATCTGGATTTCGCCAGGGGACGGCGACTTCCTGCGTCGGTTCCGCCTTCCAGAGGCTGGCAAGCATGCGTGGACGAAGGGGGGAACTCGTCTCGAAAAGGGGCCGAAAGACGACGCTTCGTTCCAAACGGTTCCTTTACGATAAATTAACGGAACGAACTCATTGAATACATCTGATTGAAAACCGGCCACCTCCCCGAATTCCAATGAACGGCCTCTTGCCCCCACCCCCATAGGAAGTGTTCCATGAGATCCTGCCGCTCTCCTCGGCCCCGAACCATCGAGTTACGGTCCAGTCGTGGGCCGATGCACATCGGTCACGCGAGGGGCACGGTTGGGCACGGTGCTCGCTACAGTTCACGGCCTTTGGGAACGTGGCTTCGCATTCCGCAAAATCTGTCTATCAGACGTTCCCGTAATTTTTTTCACGTTAACACATTAAGGGTGACATGCACCGGATCCGTTTAAGCTAAACTAATCTGATTTCACAACGGTCCCCTATGGGAACCAGTTTAACAGAGATAAACTTATTCCCATAGACGCCCATTATGAAAGCGAATCAGTTTAAAGTTAAACGGATCTGGTGCATGTCACCCTAAAAAGAGGAAGACATGAGAAGGACCGAAAGGAAAACTGATCTACTCGAAAAAAAAAGTTCCAAGAAGCTGATAATTTGTCTAACGTACGTTTCTCCTATCGTGGAAGATGTCGTCTGTGGGAATCACGTAAGGGAGAAACTGATCCCTCTATCTGTTCCAATTTTTACTCGCTTTTTTTTTTTTTTTTTTTAAGAAGACTGTTATAAAAATATTCACTCCTGGAGCACTCAGAAATTCTTATTTTCGCAGATGAACCATTTTTAATTTCATCTCACCATTGCGTCGCAATAACACCCCATCCCCCCAAAAAAGGGGGAAGCTTCGGGCGGCCTCTTCCATCTTCCCTCGATCGCCCCGTCGAAACTCCGGCACGAGTCCTCACGCATTGCACGAGGACTCGTGCCGGAGTACTCATGTTTGAATCCACACGCATTGCACGAGGAATCAAAGGAGATGGAGAGAGCCCTCTGACGGTATAGAAATCGCCGAGATCGTGACCGGAATCTAATGAGCGGGAAAAGAGAGGGTCGAATTTAAATGCCCTCTTCAACCCCATAAGTGCTTATCATCGCGAAAAAAAAAATCTCCAGCATCTTTTGCGAAATAAAAATGAAACAAGAAGCTTAACCCATAGCGACATCTCTCCAGACCATGGTGATATTTGCTCGGGTCATAACCCAACAGGCGACCCGATAGGCTGCGTTACACGATGCGCTGTTCGGCGTGGAATATGTTCCACAATTGTCCGTACGGATTTATATATAGCGTGGAATGCAATCCACGTTGGTATTTAACCTCTTGAGGACGGATGAAGTTCATGAACGAAAATTTTCCCGAACTGAAACACGTTAGTATAATTACGGTTCGGCAAACTGGGGATTCCCCTAATGCTTAGTCATCATCATCACTCATCAAAGAGGCAATAATAATACGCACCTAGTAAGTGAATACGATCCACATCTCAAAAATGTGCTTTTCTGGCCAAAATTAATCCCGTCTGAGGCGCAATTTTGCCAAAATTAATCCCGTCTGAGGCGCAATTTTGCCAAAATTAATCCCGTCTGAGGCGCAATTTTGCCAAAATTAATCCCGCACCCATGTGGTTAAAAGGTTGAAAGGATGGAGGAATTTTTGCATTTTAATTCTCCCTCCGGTATTTCCCATCAGTCGGCTACCTCCCTATTTGAATTTTGCCTGTCGCATACGCCACCCCGATTCGATCGATTTATTTCACGCGGTCGTTGTGAACGAAATTTATGAGCGATTTCGCCAGGGGGCTCTTCGTCACTGCGTTTCTTTTCAAAATTAACAGTAAACATTCCGAGCGGCGATATCCTTCACCTGTTGACATCCCTCCATTCTTGTGCTTTCCTTGCACCCGTCTCGCACAAGACGGATAGAGAAAGAGAGAGAGAGAGAGAGAGAGAGAGAAAGAGAGAAAGAGAGCGCCCAGGAATCCAGCCACCACACGCACCACGAAGTGATGCAAAGCCGTGGTTGGCGGGGGAACGGGAGGGACACATGCGATTGTGTAACTCTTAGAGGCGTGACGCCGGGTTCCACACCTCGCATTTTTCGCTTTGTTTCATCTTTACACCAGGACAATGCGTCGTTCGGAATTCACAGTTTGAGAAAAGCAAAGAGAAGAAAATGTGAAGTGCACAGGACGCGGGATTGCCTCAAATCGCCGTGCCAAGGTACCTGTAACGATCTATCGACACCGTGCAACGTGAAAACACATTGGATTTACTCCGAAGATATCATATGAAAAAAAATCCAGCGTTTCATAAGATTCATGACAGCACGAGCAATAAAATTGTATTGGTAATTTGACCTTATTAAGAGAATGGTCGCGACAAGAAACGATTACATCGGCCGACTCTATCCTGGAAACGGCAGTCACGATGAGTCATCGAGTCTGGTGTCGTCTCGTCGTTCCTCGATGCCCCGTGTCGAGCCGCTCGGCAGCCGTGGGACGGAGAAACGGAGCCGTTTGATGTCGCGGGCCTCGGTCTCGAAAGAGAACGAATGACGTCGAACTTCGTCGCTTGAATTGCAGGACCTGATGCCCTGGGAAGAATCGACTGAACGCGGGGATGCCGAACGGAGAAATCCCTCACGAGGAGTCGAGGAGGCATGGCTACGACAACCATGCACGAGAAACGGAAGAGACAGAGAGACGGGACCCGCCGAGATTAGTCCTCCCTCCGCCGTCAACTTCATCGTCTGTACGTGAGTCGAGTCCCTCCTCCCCTTCCCTCCCCCCCCCCCTCCTCCTCCCCTTCCACCACCCCATTCCCGCGCTTCGAGCCCGACGAGGGACCGTTCAATTGCTCTTCCCTAAAGGACCGGAAGGTTTCGGACTCTAGAGCTCTTTCGTCGACAGGGTCGGCAGAGAAGGGTCAAAGATATATCGCCTCTTGCGTCTGGCGTTTCACCGTGCTTGGAGTCTCTCAGCTGCTGTTAGCCGTGTACGAGAACGCGTTAGGCATTCTCTCAAATCCCTTATGGACGTCGTGCATGTCTCTGTCTCATGCAACAGACGTAATATGACCTCCAGATTCTCTCATCTTCCATCGGTGATTTGGCAATGATCATTGACAATTTAAGGACTGAAAAGAAAAGCGGTATACCTGCAAAAGATGTCCGGAAAAAAAAAACAGTTGACTTTGTGCACTTAGACCCTTTTTCGTTTCATTGAAGATAGTAACTTTTGGGGTTTCCTGTGAGTGAAAACTTTGCCTATCCACGCGTACCAATATCTCCCACTTTTAAGACGGTCGATGGAATATTCGTTCTTTCCGCGCGGAGCTCGAGAAAATATTTTTTTTTGCAGATAGACCACTTTTTCTTCAGTCTTTCTATTAGTCTGCGCACACGCGCGGCAGAACAAGAAGAGCAATTGAATCATTCCCTGAAGTTTCCTAAAATAATATTATAATAAAAGTGACGGGTGCGAAGCACGCTGTTGCTCATCTCTTGCTTCTCGGGATTCACGAACCCGGCGAACGTCGATAGGGCGCAGGAAGTCCGAGGCCCGTATCGCGGTTTTCTGGAAAGTGATTCACATCCTTGGATTTAAAGACAACGAATATTATCTCTCGATCCTTTCGCTCGTCCTTGCAAACCTTCGAGTGGAAGCGCGGTTTAGGTTAAGTGAAGCGGCAGAGATGGGTCCCACTCGTCAGGTCTGTATCCGTGAGGGACCCCACCGTGAGCTGCGCGTGACGTGGGCGATGGAAGCCCGAGCGGGAAGGGGGGAGGGAGGGCTTGGCCCGCCTTTCGCAGGCAGGCACTTGGTGATGCCGAAAAACGGGGGGAGGAGAGAGGCAGGTCTCTTCGATGGGAACTTTAACTGCTTTTCGATTTTTCGGTTCTCCGAAGGTGGAAGCCTAAAATGTGGATGATGGATGAGGTCCAGCGCTCTCGGATGCCATCCGATGCGGCCACTACCACTTGCGTCACTTCAGCTTCCGGTGGAATGTCTCTTGACCATTTGCAAAGAGGAGTGAGAGTGGATTCTCGATCTCTTTTTCTTTGCTCGAGTAGTGGAATATCGATAGGAACTAGTGAGGGAGATCGCGTGCATGTTCGCAGCTGCGAGTAGACCCATTCTCGAGGTACGCCACCGGCTCTTCGAGATATATACTGTTGCAGAAGCTACAGTATCAGCTGGTGATCTATTCCATTCTCCAAGTCTACTTACGAGCGAAAAATCCCTGTCACGGTTTCTTGCTTGCCCCAGGCTCATGTCATGTTTGGCGATGTCCCCTTGTGGAAAACATACCTTCGAGAGCGGACAACTTTCTCCTGCTCGCGATAATATATCTCCGTAATAATTTAAAAAAACCCTATCATTTTCTTCAATAATCTCTCCGTTTAATTACGGTTAAGAGAATTCGATCTTCCTTCATTCAGAGTCCCAGTGAATAATAATTCTTTGCTCTTTCATGCACAAACCTTAACGGCGGAAATAGATTTTTAGAAGAGATTTAGAGATTTTAAAATTTTTATTTAACTAGATAGGAATTCGTGCTTGTTTCATGATCCAATTTTAAAAGCTTTAAGCGCCTGCGATCTCTCCAAAGAATTTTCACGTCATTATGGATGGTGTGGACAAAAAGAGAGCCTCCTTGTTTTCTAGGGAAACGCTGTTACTAGTAGTATCGTAGAGCCTCTAAATGATAGGTAATTCACATTATTTAACTACCAAATGGCATAAGATAGGGCGCCATGTAACACTTCGCACCTAAGGAAAACGCAAGGACTTTACATGCAGTAATGCGGAACGACGTTGGTTCCACCCATCATTTAGTACTTACGTAATAGCCAAGGATTTCGTCCTTCACTATGGCCTATTTAAATTCCATTCCCTCTCTCTTGATTTATCTTCCTTCCTCCAGAGAGCAGACTTATTAGGAGGGCCAGCGGTAAAAGAAAGTGAGGATGATAGTGGAGGACCGTGTGGAGTCTGCGGCCTGGAGCCTCAATGCCTACAATCCTACCGCAGCCCGCCGTGGGTCCTCTTTTGGCTCTGCTGTGCCTCATTCCTGCAAGGCGAGTGCATTAGGTGTTTCAAGGCAGAAGTGCTGAGTCGTGGTGATTGGGCCTTTCATTCCTTAACACCAATAAACACATTTAGGGTAATGGGGCTCTAGTGAAAGTTCGCAAGGTCGGCTCAAGGTTGGAAGAAAAACGTAATTCTAGATGGGATGAGAAAAATGATTGTTTCATGACACCATTTTGCAAACCCACCGTTTCCTTGTATGGGTTGATGGAGGTGGAATTTTATGTCAGAAAAATCACTTGCTTTTTCTTTCACATCACATGACAGCCAAGCCAGCCACATTCCCATGGTGCATTTAACATGTATTCTCTACATGCATTTGTCACATACTCATGGCTTCCCTTGCTTGAGAATGTTCAGGGGATTCCTCTGCTGTTTCTACTGTATAATAATAAATAAGACTTTCCACAGATTTCATTTTCATCTTATGCTGCTTTCTTGTCAACATGATTTCATTTTCCACATAGGATAGGTGATACAAATTCCGACCCCCCGAAGTTCAAAATCTGCCCCCTCACCCACGATTTGAAATTAATTTTTGGGGAATTTATGTCATTTTAGAGGATAATGCACTCACTGCTCATTCACGTTTAGAAACCAAGCATTGAGTAACTTGATTGTAAAAGGCTGTTTGGACTTTTGATTACATTGAAACATATAACGTGGGGGCAGACTTCATAGCAGGGTCGGAATTTGTACTACCTACTCTATCAAGAGGAGCAGTAGCCTGAATAAACTGCTCTATTCCCTAGCATGAACTATTAATAGAGGAAAGAGAGAGATGGCGGAGGAATTCACTAGCTTGACACATTTCTTTGCATTGGTGGCGCTGAAATGTAATGATTTCAATTATTCACTTCTACCATGATGGACATCAGATGAGGTTATGGCCAAATTGGAAACTATGTAAATGATTTTTCATGCTTCTTTATGCACCTAGTTCTGTTGGACATAGGAAAAATGCATTTTTAATTAGTATAGGGAGGGATAAGAGATACTTGAGTTTCCATAAAGTGAAGATCATGTTTACTTGAGTTAGGCATTTTGTTTTCCAATGGAGGCCTTTGATAGGTTTGTTTCTTGCATAAATTTAATGCTCAATGCCTTCCATGACTTTTCACAGGAATGGCAGTGAATGGACTGGTGAATGTGGTCATTTCCACCCTGGAGAGACGCTTCCAGCTGAGTTCCAAAGAAAGTGGCCTGATCGCATCCTTCTATGACATTGGATATTTTTTCTGTGCCATCCCCATCACTTATTATGGAGGTAAAATCAAATTAAATGTGATACACCTCACAAGTGGATTGAACTCTTTGAAACAGATAATTTCTGCTGATTGCTCTCTATATGGCAGATGAACCTCAAATAGGCAGCTGGCAAGTCTCCATCTGGTGTGATTCAAAATTCAATAGTTTTGGAGGGCAAGAAGGGGGGGGATTGCTGGGAGTATATATAAATGATTTACATGTCTCTGGGGAGGCAATTCCTTCACAATTGGACCATCATGCGTACATTACCTGCCATCATTTGGTACAGTAGTTCCTTGAAGAGCTGCAAGGTGTTGAGTGTATTGGACTTGCTGCCACTGAACTCAGAGGGTTATATGCCTAGCTTATTTAGATAAAGTTTATTTGGCCTTGATGAATAACAGACTATTGAATGCCTTCTATGGCAAGAGAAGGCACTCAATGGCACCTTCACCAGGGTATGGGGTGGTGAACACAGACTTTTCAGTTACCTGCATACTTCACCAAGTAACATTTAACCTGGACATCTGACCAAAACTCAGGCATGAATTCCTTCTGAAGTTTTCCCATCAGCCTCAGGAGCTTAAAAGCTTTCAAGTTATACATCCTTCCCTTCATTGGTTATTCTTTCTTAGGGTTGGCTTCAACTACCCCAGAAGGAATAAAAAGCATTTTGAGAAGTAGCAGATAACTGAAATTATATATTTCAAACTCACTAAGTCTGCTTATCTTGAGTGTGTCCTGACATTTATGGCAGAAATCTGTCCATTCTTTCATAAACCTGCATTCTGATGATAATTTTTTCCTAGAAGAGGCTTGAATGAGCTAAACCTTAGTTAAACTCTCCAACAGAACTCAAGGCTATACAGTTAGGAGGTTCATAAATACTATAGGAACCAAGTACCAATATTATGCCTGCAAGAAGCTGCATTGCTATCATCAATTTTTTTTAGGTCGACCAGGAGCCTCAAAGCCAAGATATCTGGCCCTAGGAATTCTTCTGCTTGGGCTGGGATCGCTGATCTGGACTTTGCCACACTTCCTCACAGAGCAATATACAGGAAATGGAGAAGAATCTGATGTAGGTACAACTTCTGCACCAACCTCACCACCAGGCTTACTTCCTTTGCTATTTTAATTTTACTGGCCAGTGAAGCTACATATATGAAGTGTCTATAAGGTAAGATTTGGATGCATTCCTCTGCAGCCATCAGTGTGCCTGAGGAAAGAAGACATAAATGGGACCATGGCCTTGACTCACATGGGACGTGATGACAGATTGGCCAATTTCAGATTTGTGTTCTTCTTTGCTCAATTCATGATTGGTTGTGGGGCCACTCCTCTCTACACACTAGGAGTCACATTTCTCGATGAGATCACTTCTACTGCAAACTCTGCTGTCTACCTTGGTGAGATGAAATAACTATTCAAGTTTTGGGTCTCCTAGGATTGCCAAAATTGAAGCCTTAATTACTTTATTTTATTTTCAGGGACTTTTTACTCTATGGCTGTGGTTGGTCCTGCAGTGGGCTTTTTGCTTGGTGGACAGACCCTCAAGCTTCATACTGATATTTCAATGTATGAAGCCGAAAAGTAAGGCAGGCAGATTATTCTCATTTATACTGCAAAATTTTGATTTTCCAAACCTGCTGCTATCTCCATAAAAAAGCAAGGCAATCACAAGAATTCATCCTATAGAGTAGCAGTATCTGCAGCATGAGTAGCAGTATATCGCCTTGTATAAAACTAAACAAACCAATTAGCATGGAGCAAGTTGGGCTATTACAGTGTTTTCTAAAATGCTTTACTCTGGCTCCTGTTTTTTTTTTCCTACTTGCAGTGATACTTTTTAAAGAATCTTATCAACTCAATTGGATGATCTGAAGTCTAAATAAGTTTGAGTAACTGACATTCACTGTGGATTCAGATTTGAGCATAACCTCCATGAAACCAAAACCTTGCAGACCTTGCAAACCTTTCCTCTTGCAGATTGGGGCTGACACCAAACAACACCCTTTGGGTGGGTGCCTGGTGGGTGGGGTTCCTTGTGTGTGCTGTACTCTCTGTCATCATTGCCATTCCCATTATGGCTTTCCCTGATGATTTACCTGGTATGTCAGAACTCATGCACATGCTTAATATTTTGGGACATTATTTTCTTGTGAGGAAAGGCTTCCTCACCCAGTGAGGAAGCCTTTCCTCACAAAATTTGCAATTTTTTCAAAATTTGCAATTTTTTTTAGTTGAAGAGTCTTGAATGTCAGAAGTGGCCTCTTTTATTTCAGCTTTCTTCAGGAAATTGTGAAACTTAAATAATTTTCACTAAGAACAATTTTCAAATTGTTATCTGATACAGATATAGTGAGTTTCAATACCTAATTTGCAGAGGTCTTAAGAAGAAAAAGAGAAGCTAAAAGAAGCTTAAAGGAGAAGCAAAAGTTGAGAAAAAGGTTTTAGGGTCATTTAAGAGATTGTCAGTGATATCATGTCACTTAGTTCCAGTTCCAGTTTCAGTCTCAGTTTAGTTATGCCCAGTTTCAGTCCATCATGGAAGTTCTGCTAATTGAAGATGAACTGTGGACTATGACCAGTTTGTTGAGTCACTGTTAAATGGAAATAAATTGAAACTGAAAATTAAACTGAAAACCCAAGTGGGCTTATTCTGTACATTGGAGTTCTTGAAAACTTTTTTTTTTTCTTGGTTTATTAATTTAGCGAGCATATTGACTTAGATATTTTCATCTGATTCACCATACTTGGACAGGCTTAAATGCAAAGTGTAACAACTGAGACAAATTTTCAAGAGATTGGTTGCTGCACTGCCAGGGATTTTGCTGAAAAAAATATTGTGTGCTGGGGGCTTTGAGAAATTGGTAAATTCAAAATTTCAACAGTTTAGGCTCAATGATCATTGAGATGCCCATTGAAGTTTGAGAGGGCAGGGTAGAATGACCCTTTGGACAAACAATATCTCCCAAACTACTTAAGCTAGAAGCTTTTAATAGCTCATTTTAAACTGCAAAGCCAGGCAATCATAATGCATCCTGAGTTTCTTTGTCTCAATTAAGAAAAAATTTGCAATTTTAATAAATTGATGAAAATTTCCAAAATTCTATACATTAAAAATCCACAATAAGAATGCTTGTAACTAGTCCAAAAATAAATTTAACCCACATATGCCTGGCATTTTATATGTAGGACAGCATGCAGGGATGAACACCATGAACTTTGACATTTCTTGGTCAGCTGTTTGAATGGACACAGCTTGATCAGTTGCTAGCCACACACTGAAGAATTACTTGATTTTGTGTGCCACTAGTGCCATTTGTTGATCTACAATGAACTACAGGCAGGAACTTTTGATGCACATCTTTGCACACCATCATACATATGTGCATAAATTTGTCATGGTTCAGAATAGGAGCAACTTGTTACCAACTAGTGGGTTTTATCTCAAGAAACATTTTACAAAATCAATACAAAGGCAGATTTATCCTTAGCAACATAGCCATCATAGGCAGGTTATCACTGCAAGATGTTTCACCATTAGATTTTTGGCAGAATGCAAATTTTGATGGATGGAGGAATTTAAAGGAGTTTTTAAATGACCAATTAGGATGATGTGTCTTTTGCTAGCCAGATGCTATGAGTTCAATATTGTACAATCCAGTTATGCTAATAAATATCCTCTAATCTCCAAATAATAGCATAATAGCATAATAGTAAACAGGACCCTTTCTGGTTAAAATTCCCAGGACCATTTCTGCTTTTGCCTCAACTACTGTATTTACAATATATGCCCATTTGATCTGGTGGGGTTCAACTGTGGTTTCAGACATTTGGATCATTTCTCATATAAATGTACCCGATTTGTTTCATAAAAAGAGCAACGTAGAATAAGTGGTTTCTCTTGATCACAAGCAAATGGTACAGCCTAAGTAAAATGGTCATGAAAAACAACTTAGATTCAGGAATTTTGTCATGATCATCAAAATGATGATACTGAATTACTGATAAGTTTTTATTTCATTGTGTGATACTGTAGGGAAGAAGGCTATTCAAGTTCACAAGGTGGATGAAGTACATCAAGGGTATGGTGTGGAGGAGGCCAATACCCTTGACTTCAGTTGGTCCACTGACTTTCCTAGACATCTTCGGATTCTACTCACCAACCCAACCTTCATTTTCATTAACTTTGCTGCTGCAAGTGATGGCCTCCTCCTGGCAGGGTTTTCTACATTCCTTCCCAAGTATATTGAGAATCAGTTCAGACTTTCTGCCTCCTTAGCTGCCTTATTGATGGGTTCCATAACAATTCCTTCAGGAGGAGGTGGAACATTTATTGGTGAGTTTTCCTCTTGCATGATAGTCTTGACATTAAACTTAGTATGAGATACTTTCATGTGATATTTGTTCCAGGTGGATATGTGATAAAGCGATTTGATCTTCGATGTGCATCCATCATAAAGCTATGTGCAGTGGCCACATTATTGACTGGACTTTGTTCCTTCTTATTTCTTCTTGACTGTCCTAATGTGGAATACACTGGCTACAATGTCGGCTACCTTCATCCAGTCAACAAGTATGTATTCATCGGTATCATAAAGTGTGCCTCAAAATTCTCACATGGATTTTAAAAGTAATTTATTCTCGAACAGATGAAAGTACAGTTCTGTAGACTTCTGCTTTTACTTTATACACAAAAAAGCTTTTTCATGAAAACCCATCAAACCTCTCTGACAAGCTATCTCAGCTCAACATGGCAACCTCAAAGATCATATCATTTTTGCCATTTCTGGACTGTTATTAACAAATCCCTTTGCTAAATTCTATTGCACCTGCTGCAAAAGCTTATTCAATTCTCTTTCAAGCCCTGCTAGCCTTGGAGCTTGATATGTCCCTGCACAAGGAAATTCATGGGCTTTATAATCTAACACTCCATTCAAATACAGGTTCTGTGCAGGTTACAGCCCTGAAGTGGCAAAAATGCTATGATCATAGGGGTGGTCATGCTGAGGTGAGATTACTTGCCAGAGGCTTGATGGCTTTTCAGGATAAAACTTTTTGGTTTATCAAGCAGAACTGTTAGTATACAGAACTGCACTTTCATCAGCTTGAGAATAAATTACCATAAAAATCCTTCAGAGACTTTAGTCACCCTGCATATATACAAAGTATGGCAAAAAAAGACAAATGATTTTTCACCTACTCCCACTTGAGCTACTTTCACAAAACTCTCAATGTGCATATATGGATAAGTTTCATACTTCAAAATTTCTTCCAAAGTCATTGCTCTTAGGCAAGGCCAGGAGTAATAACTAAAAAGAAGTTGGACATTGAAAATGGACATGGAAATGGACAGGTTGGATGGAAAATCTCATTACCAGCATGAGCTGGCAATGAGAACACATTCAAGTGCTTTGCTTCTACAGGGTGGGCCAAAAGAAAGTTCCACATTTTTCATTCCTCTGTCATATTTTTGTTCATTGAGTTAGGTGCCTGTAATTTACATCATTGCTTAGAATGGCAACACTGCAATCAAACACACTTTTTCGTGAGAAATGGTTCAGAAGTTTTTTGCACAGTGATGATTTCATGCCATTAAGTGAAAAACCACTGCTGTGTGAACTGGGGATTCCTCCTTGTGCCTGTACATGTGTGTGTGGTGGCCAGTGATTTTGAATGTCCAGCGTTACAAACACATTTTTTTGTCATTTTGTGTTTCATCCCCAGTGTGCTGCATGACATCTGACGTGCATGGTTTTGTGCTCACCTATCACAAAATATGTATGTGTAACATATTTTATTCATTTCAAATCAAGGACAAAACGAGAGTTGACTGTGCCTCATGTGAGCAAATCAGTTTTGGGAAGGACAATATTGCCCACATCACAGACAGGCAAATCACAGAAGCGGTTAAGAGAGTTGTGTGCTGTAACTATCACCAAGTGCCAAGGTAAGTTGATTGGAGTGCTTTAAGATGCTTCATCTATGTATGTGTACAAAAGCATCCACAGACAAGATGATGGGAAGATGATAAACAGTGAGAATTCCAAACAATGGCCAAAACAATAGGGTATACAAAGACTTACCCTGCAAGAGCCTTGCTCCTTCAAACCTTCTGCTGAAACAGAGCATTTTAGCCTGTCCACAATGGCATCAATAAGTGTGCCGCAGAGCAGTGGTTTTTCACCTCTCGCCATAAAGTCATCACTGTGAAACAACATCTCTATCCATTTTCAAATTAGAAAGTGCATTTTTATTGTAGTTTAATCATTCTAAACAATGGCAAAAATTGGAGGTACCTGACTTAACACATTCACTGCCAAGGATTTAAATGAATTAAAATTTTCAACTTACCTTCATTAATATTTGAGGGTGTGGTATTTTGTATGCAACCATTGTAGATTGTGAGATGTTTGAATGACATTCCTTGAAGAAATAAGTAACTATTAGGAGGACAGCATGAAAACAGCTATAGCTGTATATGGTCATGGCAAAATGGATCCATGAAAACGGCTATAGCCATTTTTGGCAGCAAATGTGTAAATAAGGGAAAATGTTACAGTGGAATGAAAAATGTGGAACTTTTTTTGGCCCACCCTGTATACCATTCAGGCCACATCAACTTCTCTTCCATTGTAATTAATTTTTTAGGTCCTCCTTTTTTGGCAGATCAGAATAAATCTAGTAAAAAATTTGGCCAAGTGAATCAATAAATATCAAAGCAGAGTTTGTTCAAAGTTCATTCAGATTTTCCCTTGGTCATTATTGGATGAGACAGGAAGACAAAGTACTCGAAAGGGATTTGATTTTTTTTTGTCCATTTTCAATTCCTGATTTATTTTGAATAATTGCTCATTGCCTTGATGTGACAATATCAATTTGAATGGAATTTAAAAAGTCTGTGTGGACAATATCAATTTTATGCTGTGCAAGTTTCATGAAAATAGCTCCAGTGATAGGAGAGATAAACAGGTTAAAAGTCATTGTTCATTTGTATTTTGCTATACCCTATACATCGATATGGCAAAAGTATCAATAGTATTTATGGACTGATCAGATTATGTCCATTGATCATGGCTAAGCCAAGAAGAGGTGAACAACTTTTCAAACTAGCTGATATCATGGAGCTATGCATTCAACTGCAAGTTATCAAGGAGAGCCCTCAATATAATAACAGGGATAAATATTCCCCTCCTACCAAATGTAACAACTGAATACAGTAATACCTTGCTTAGCGTTACCCCGTATTGTACTGTTTCGTTATAGCACTCTTGATTCTGGAGAGAAACATTTTTACTGAAAACCAAAAAAAAAATATCAAAGTAAAAATTATGAGTCAGAATATTCACAGCTCAATTCACATCTCCATATGTACAATACAATGGTATAATGACCCCTTTTAGCACTCTCTTTTCCAGGAATGCATCCTGAACGCTAAGCGGGGTATTGCTGTAATTATTTGGCTTCTGTCATTTCAAATTAATTTCTTGATACCTGAATGTCACCTGCAACATGCAAGGCTCAATATGAGAATGCACTTAATTCAATGTAGGTGTCTGATGGAAAATTTCCAGATCCCTCAGGCAGCCAGTTGATGGCCTCCAAGACCAATGTAACACACATTGTGCCAATTGTCTTGACAGCAAGTTTGATCCCATATGTGGAGCAGATGAAGTCATGTATTATTCACCCTGCTATGCTGGGTGCAGGGAAGAAAGACGGGACACAGACAATCTCAAGGTATGTTCAAAACATCTATATATATGTAAATCTTGTAATCTTTTGGTCAGCATTACTGGAGCAAGATGCATCTTGTCATCTCAGATAAGTTCAGAACATACTTGGAAAATAGGGTAGTGGCCTTGTTTCAAAGACCAGTGAAGATTAACTTTCAGAAGGTCTGAGTGACAATTTGACAGATGTTATGTTCTTCATGCATTTTTGTACATTTATGATTCCATGGCTCATCAATTCAAAAATTTTCCTAAGTTATGATATAAGAACATTTCTTCCTGATTCAACTTGAATCTAGATGTGGAATCACCCACTATTCACCATTATATGCCATGGGAATCTCATCCCTCTTACTGTGGCAATCACACTGTACCTTCAAAATAAGAATAGGGATCATTCCAAAACTCAGACTCAGATGCTCAAACTTCATTTAGGCAACACAAAGGGGACTTTTAAGATAAAGAGCTCTCTTGCCCTCATAGGAGTCCATGGATCCATTGAGTCTGGAGGACCAGCAACTAAAAAAGTTTCAGCATTTAGGCCTTAGACTTTGAGATTCAGGAGCTTCCTCCACATTAATACCTCCATGCAGTCTTGCAACCCTCATTCCTATACATCAGGGGTGTCAAACATATGGCCCATGGTGGTGGTTCATCTGGCCTGCTGTCTTTTCTTGAAATTTCTGCTTGGATTGACCGTCAGCACAAATTTCTGTGAAAAATTATGGGTAATTGCATCTGCAGGGTAAGGAAAGCAGACCACTGACCAATTTGAGTTTGACACTCTTGCTGTACATGAAACACTCGATATCGCAATATAAAAGTTTTTGAACTTATATAGGCTTAATGATTATGGTAAAATTATTAAATGCAGAACTGATATACAAACAAAATAGTTCATACCCATTCACTCCCATTCCCTTAGAGCTACTCTGGCTACCCTGAAGTGCCCAGCATTTTGTATCTCCACTACCAATAACACCATGCCTTTATCAATATTTGATAGAGAAGTTGTATTTATTACAACTACTGTATTTATTATAACTACATAAATACACAATACTATGAAGTTTTCAGGTTTTCAAAAACAGCCAAAAGCTTGATAGCCATATATCTTTTGACTTATTTAGTCATGTGCTCACAGTGAACTGAGAATATCAAAAGATAGTAAATGCTATGAAAATAAAATTAATAATGGAGTAAACAATTTTTTTTAATAATACAATTTTAATTATATTTATAGCATAACTGTATAGTTTCCAGGTATTGTATCACTGCAGAAGAATTTTTTCATTGCCTTGTCAATGTGATGTTACCCAGCTATACCTTCCAGTTTGGGAACTGATGGGAAAGTCACCTTCCCTGATGCTGCTGAATTTTTCTAACTAAAGAGTCTTTCATCTTTCCCACCCACCCATGTTTCACAACAGGTTTATGAATCTTGTGACTGCCTGGGCATAAAGAACTCAGAGCAGTTCTACCAACGACAGCTGAAGAATTCTACTGGAGAAACCAGCATGGAAGCTGTGGGGGAACTTTGTCCCAGTAAATGTAGCTATTTGCCCTTCTATATGGTTGGGCTCTTCATGGTCATTGCTCTCACTTTCTTCGACAGTCAGCCTGGCATAGCAGCAACTTTGAGGTAGGAGTTGGAAACATCATTGTCAGCATGATCACTTGCTATGATTTTTTCTGGAAGTGCAGAAATTTATTTTCTAATTACATGAACCTGAATGATTCCTCACCTTAATGTTGGTCTTGTTTCATCTCATGAGCATGTTTCCATTACAGATCTATGTGAACTGCACTTGCTTGGCTGGGTACTCCTTTCTTACTAAGTACTATGCAGGAGAACTGTGGAATATACAAGGAACATCTAAAATGTGTGATAGTCACTGTTCCCTCACCCCATATTTTCTACTTGCATTGTCCCTCTATGCCTTCCTTTCCTTCTTGGACTCCATCCCTACATGCTCAGCTACCTTCAGGTGCCTTGTTTACTCCTTACTTCCTGCATGTTCATATTCCATGGCCATGTGTGATCAGTAAAGCATGGAAAATTTAGCTAACTTAAATGGCAGTAGGAATGTAAAAGAGATGAGTGACCTTTGCTAAGAATCCTAGGAGGAAGTAATAACTTGTTGAACAGGTCTCAAGAGTATTCCTCATAGAGTCCCATCCTTTCACTTCATATTTAGTGAAGATTGTGGTATGACTTCTTGTTTATGCTGATTCACTGGCACTCTGTATGACTGAACCTTTTTTGGCACTAAACATATGCAAGTGTGCTGTGGGGTTGCTTTTTCTCTTGAGATTCAACGTGGAAGAGAGCAGATGAATAGCTTGGCTGGCAGTGAGTTTGCCCCCTGTAGCAGGAGACTTGGATTCAAAAGCAACAAAGTCATGACTTTTTTTTAAATGAATTTAAATGAAAAAATGCTTAAGGGTCAGGTTTAGGGACCAGTGCATGTCTTTTTAGATGAAAAGTTTTCAAGCTGAAGGATGGAATGGGTAATGCCTCCCTTCTATTGCCTCCCAGGTCCCCAGACCTGACCCCTAGAGACTTCCATTTTTGGGGACATGTTAAGAACATTGTGTATGCCACATGCATTGGGAGAGCAGTCAGGAACATCACACCTGCTCAAATGGAGGCAGTTCTGGATATGTTCACTAGAAGGTTGCATGCATGTTTTGACAAAGATGGAGGACATGTGGAAATGTGAGATTCATGATTTGGTGTGTCATAAAAAATGATGAAATAACGTTTCATATTATGCATACTGCATATTTCTGCACCACCTCATTCCCAAGATATAGGGGCATGAAACCCCTCAGGGACTTTCTGTCCACCCTGTACATATGAGTTTTGTGAATCCATATTAGTTCTTGCTGATTTTACTGCCTGTTGTCCTTGCAGTATCCAGTTGCATGGAGCACTAATCATGGCCCTGCTTTTTATTAGGTGTGTACCCAGGAATCAAAGATCCCTAGCACTTGGGATACAATGGGTCAAAATTCGTCTACTGGGAACTATCCCAGCCCCTGTGATATTTGGGACCATCATGGACCTCAGCTGCACACTTTGGCAGAAATCAAATGATGATGGCAGCTGTCGAGCATATGACAATTTCTGGATAAGCAGGCAAGACTTTCTCACCTGATTCTTATCACCATGTATACTATTATTAAAAGATTATCACAATTGTCCTGATATCATTAAGTTTCTACACGATATCATTGTTCACTTTAGTTCTAATAACAGAAGTTGCTGGAGGAGCTCCATCACTGGCATATAGCCAGATGACACCATGTGCTATGTTCTTGTATCATGTGGACCAGGTGGTTTTGCTTTTCTTTTTTATCTGTGATAATTATTAGCATTAAAGCTCATCATCATTGAAATATTTGCATAAATTAACACTAAGATTGTAAGTCAGTCAATATACCTCTGATAGAGTAACAATAGACAGAAGACAGGATGCTACCACTCTAGTATCCTTGTTGTAAATATAAATAGTAGCACCTTTTTGCCTGGGTCACAGTGTAGATTTCATCATTTCTTACTGGATGCTTATGGACATCATTCTAACTCAAATAAATAGTAAACTTATTAAGGATATGTTATACAATTCCAGGTACATGCTTATCATGGCAGTGACGGGAAAGCTGATCTCTTTCATATGTTATGCATGTGCATACAACTTCTACAGGCCTCCACCAGAGGATAAAGAAAATTCCACCTTTTCAGGTAAGTATGAAAGGAACCATCTCTGTAAAACATTGCCTCTGATGACCAGTGCTCTTGAGGTATAAGCAGTAGTATCCTACTCTCAGGATCACAACTTATACACAAAGTGCATTAAAAGCATAGAGAAAGGTCACAACTCCCAATGATGACCTGAAGATATTTCACCAGTGAGTCTTGTGATTAAGCCTCTCAAAGGCAAACATGCTCTCCCCTACATGATTGAAGTACTATGAGTAGATTTTCTCACTAACTTCCAGTAGGCTTCTCAAAAATTGATTCACAAGATCAGTTGTCATGGTTATACTGTATGAGACTGAAACCTAAGAAATGGGCTATGTTTGAATTGATTCTCAGCTAAAAACTCCAATTTTCATGCATCAGTTTCACAAAACTTGCATGTCTCCAGAATCAAGGGGATAGAATATCTACATTACCTAAACAAAAATTATTGTGAACAAATGAAAGGAATAGCCACACCCAACTCCACCATTGAAAGATCATGAAAGGAATAGCCACACCCAACTCCACCATTGAAAGATCATATAATCCAGGATCCCCATTCAGGGAGAAAGTAACCTATCACAAATGAGGCAGTCTCCTTTTGTAATAATGACCACATTCAGTTGTAGCCCAGACTATTTTCAATTACCTCTGTTGGTGGTACTACTAAGAGCAGTTGAACTCCACTTGAAAACCTGTGCCCCACCACACTAAAAAAAATCACCCAATGCAGTCAGAAGGTTGTGTTAAATGTCTGAGTGGGCCTTGCCCCAAGTAACAACTCTGTGAAAATGAATGATGGAGTTAGAAAACAAGGATAATGCATTAAGCAAAACATGAGAAAGACATTTGACTGGTAGACTTCTTCAAATTTTTTGTTCTTTTTATGTCTGGAGATATAATATAGAATGCCAATAAATTCTTATAAGAATGGGATTCTTCTAAAAATTGATTATATTCTTCTCCCTTCTTCTGCAGACCATTATGGAAAACCTACTGCAAGGGACATGAGTGGAATCCCAAGGGCTGGCACAACTGAAAGCTACATCAATCCCCTCCCAGTGACTGACAATCCTTGATTTATCACGTCCTTTCACTACTCTTCTCACATGGAAAACAGAAGCACATCATCTAAGTTCTATTTGGGATATCTGTTGAACTGAGTTCATCTCAAAAGAATCCTTCACTTTATCCAGGTCCTCAAGCTGGTTCTGGCCCAGTGGAGCTGGGAAAACAAAAACTCATATTTGAGATCCGTCGCTTATCCTGGTTTAGCTTATAGTAGGAAAGTGGCATGTCTATAACACCTGTGATTGATGGGTCTGGGTCACATGTATGGAAATCTTGATATTTCTCTGACATAATGGACAGATGAAAAATAAAAACTCATTTTCAAAGCATCTAGGAAATCTGAGCTTGAAGTATTGAGAAAGAAAAGTTACTGTTCTATTTCATCAAGGTTATGGATTTTAAAAATCTATAGTTGACTGGAGCCAGAGTGCCTCTCACTGTCAATGCTCAGTGATTCCCCTTTTCTCTGGTAGGCTTTCTTTCCGTAAGTATAAAGCTGAGACTCCCAAAGCACTTGCTCAGATCAGATGTCTGAGTGATGGCTTGAAGCCTTCATGAATTTTCATGGGAATGCTACTCCCTGAAACTTCTCCAATTTCTTATAATGTCATGCAATGAACTTGACATTTTATTTTATTTTGGAAACATGTCATCCCTTATATTTTCATTATTAAGTGAATCTGATATTTGGAACTCTCATGAAGCACAAGAAACTGGAACATTAAGGGTAGTCACCACTGGGGCCATTCATCAACCCTGGTGCTAATCATTGCCATTCCTATGCAGTTTGCAGTATTCTTTACGGTACCATTCTGTATCAGATTTGTACCAGTATCATTATCTCATGTATTTTGCCTATCACCTATAAGTACTTCTGCTATTGGAACAACTCTCCCAAATTTTTCTGAGATAAGCCTTCACCAGCAGCAACTGCCAAGCCCAGTTTCCTCCCCAAGATCTGGTACAGCTAAGAGCAGCCCAGAGAAACAAGGGGATGACAGTAAAACATGACATATGAGTATTAAAAAATTCACAAGATATCCCCTCAAATGCTTGAGAATTTTTTTATCTACTGATGTCTCAGCAACCATTGGCCTGCCTTGTCAATCTCAGGCCATATATGGCTCAGATAGATATAGTTCATTAATGTGACAGCATTGCACAAGAACCACAAATGGTCAAGTACAACTTAAGAGTTTTCAATTTCAAAAGAGTTTCATGAAGTATCAAGATTAGTATTTTAATTGTTTGCAGCATTGCCTCAGCACAATTCATGACTTTTAAGAAGCATCCATTGGGAACTTGTCAGCCAATGCAATGCACTGAGCAGTATTCCATGAAAGTGATTCCAGGATGAGCTAAAACTTATTGGTCATATCTTGAACATGCACTGGATGGGGGGGGGGGGGAGCATGAACTAATTTTTTAAAGAAATGATAAACTAGCCACAGAAATCAAATACTAATATTTAAAAAAACCTAATTGAGCCAGATCTATTTAAAAGATAAATTTGAGGAGTCTCATTGATTTAAAAAAAAGGATCACTATCAATCACTATCCCTTCTAAAGTCAGCCTCTGAAAATGCACCATGCCATACAAAAAACCTGGCACAATTCATACAAACCTTCAGCCTTCTTGCATAGTTTTACCTGTGATAAATGATAAAGTTAAAGAGCAAACATGACAAGATAAAAAATATAAATGTTCACCAATGAAGGCCTTTATTCAAAGTTGGCAGGCCATTCACACATACATTTACAATCGTTCATTGCTGAGGGAATGACTGACTAGAATGCAGGAGAAGGTCTATCACAGATCTCTGAACTCTTCCAGCTGTCATGGCTTCATGACTTCTGACCTTCGCCTTGTGCATCCTTCCCTGAACTAGTTTCACCTAAGGTAAAACAATGAAACATGATTCACCATAAATGATGTTTTCTAAAGGTGTGCATGTGTTACCATGCCAGCAAGTGATTCTAAGTCATTTGTAGGCCTTCCAAATTTCATCTACAGATATATAAGAGCTTAGCATTCTGTAACCTACCTGTACTGGATGATGATGTTACATTTGTGGGTTCAGTGGACAAACCAACAAGCTTGTCAGGTAGATCAGCTGTAGTTACACCTACTTGCTTCTCATCCAATATATCAGGCATTGCATTCCTTCTGCCGGTACGACCAGAATTCAGGAAGTCATCTTGACCTACATCTCCTTCTGATGCAGCCGTCTCCATTCCTAAAGAAATCAACTTCAATTAGGGAGGAATACATGACATGAATTTTTTAACAGATGGTGTCATTCAAACAAAAACACCTGAAGAATCCTCTTATTTCCATTACTATCTATCAGAAGCATCTCAAGAAAAACATTATCTTTAGTGCATTAAAAAACTAGTCACTAGGTTACATTATCCAGCTATTATGAATGAGAAAGGAGGGGTTCATAAAATGGACATTGATAAATTGTAGGCACCTCTGGTTTTATGTTCAAATATGGTCAGCAAGAAATACAATCATAATGGAAGACACCATTAGAGCCTTTGAGAGAAATATTCAATCTTACCTTCTCAAGTGGCAAAAAAACAATTATCAAGGTTTGTACAAAAACATGCATTGCATAATCATTATCCTATGTCTTTGAGGAGACCTTTCAAATAATATGAATTTGTAGAAAACCAACTTCACTACTTTTTTATTAACTGGTTCATTGCTTTTGACAAGGTGAATCACTCTCACTCTAATATTAAAGTGTATAAACATTAAGCAAATCATGACAATATCATGCTTTGGACCAACTGTTTCCAGGACAATAGACAGCTATAAGTCCTTCATGAGTTAGCCCATTGGAATATGATGGCATCTATGTCTCATCATGCTCACTCCATAGCATTTCATTTCAAGGTGCAAAATTATTGGGAATAAATATATTTCTATGGGTTAAGGTAGCAATACCCCATTGAAAATTTTTTTTGTGCAAAAATTGGCTCAAACTACACTTCAGACACCGAGGATTGCTTTCCTGTTGGAAAAAAATAATGAAACAATTAATTAGGTGTAATTTTAACTAATTAATGTAGTAATGTCTTATTTACATCTCCTTAGTACTGAATTTGACCCATGGATACCATATGTTAGAAAAGATGAAAAATGAAAATTTCAACACCATAACTTTAGTAGAAGTCTACAGTTCATTCTGGATTCCACAGTCAGTAGATTCTGCCATTTTCGACAACCTTTGTGGATGGCTCACAGGGCTTTAATTCTCTTATTGATTTCCCAAAAACCCATTTTCACCATAAGTACAGGGCTCTTGAGCAAGGTATCTTGGGACATAGTAGAGATATATGTATGGTTTTTTGCAATAAATTTCCTTGCATCCACGGTTGTGGAATGACAAGAGCATTTCCTGATATTGTGGACAAGATTTGAATAATTAGCATATTAACACGGAAGAAGCAGGTCAAAATGTTGGAAATTTAAAAAAATCAGTTGAATATTTTTCTTCTGAAGGAATTTCATTTATTTATACTTAAGGATTTATAATATACCCCCTCATATTGTGTTTGAAATGTTGCTACTTTTTTTTTCACTCATGGTGGCCATATTGACATTAATTAGCATAATTTATGCTAATTATGCATGAAATCAATATAGTTTTTCGAGGTCTCCAACCTGATATATGCATTTGATTTACAGCAATGGAACTTGCCATATTGGTTTTAAAGGGGTATTGCTACCTTAAGCTAATCTGATAGATTCTCTATTCCATCTGGAGCTTCTTTGGGGTTAATCCTTGGTCCTCTTCTCTTCCAACAAATTATTTTCTGCAGGTCTTGTCACTACAAAGAATGATCTGTGTAATTACTCACAATGGCATAGCAGCATGGAAATTAACTGATACATAGTCAAATACCAGTGGTCTTGTCAGCTATCACTTTTCCTTTCCACTTGCACCCACTTAGTTCAAAATTTGCCTTAATAGAAGGAACATTCCATCACAGTATTTAGCAGCCTCCAAGTCCTGCATATAAGGAAGGGTTCCATCTAGAATCAAAATAATTACAGAGGGATCACTTACTCCTGACTATTCAAAATCTGGATGATATTGCTTGCCAAATGAGTTGCCAACCCAACAAACAAAATGTGATCACTAGAATGAGTCTTCACTATTCACTGTATTTACAAGGCTATTACTTGCATCCCAGGATCAATTCCTAGTTAGTTGAAATCTCTTTTGCCTATTGATTTTTGTCCATCCCCAAATCCATCTACACTCAAGTTGGTAATGGTCTTAATTTCTCTCAGATTGTCAAGTAAACTAGCGGTGTTCAAGGATTTTCACTCCCCTATCCATTTCATTGATGAACTACCAACCATTAAATAGAAATAGTCTGCAAACTGTACTGTTACTCTATATGTATATCTGAAGTCCAGAACTGACATTAAAAAAGGTACAGGCTCCTTGAACACCCAAAAGTCTAACAGTCATGCCAGTTAATTCAAATTCAATTTAAAAAATTCAATTGATATATCACTGTGTACTACACTTTACCCAAACACATCCCTGAAGAAGAATTTACACCATCATCAAAATTCTGAAGACACTGCACATCATCTCAACAGATATAGCAAGATAATCAATCCAATATTAAACCAACATTTACTTTTGCTACCTCTGAGTAACTAGATGTCAGGTGCTTAATGTATAAACTGACTTAAGTCATCTTTTATAAAGGCAATATTTCTGAAATCAACTCTATTCACCAGGATCAATATTCCCCCCAGCTGTTGAGCAATGTATAGAGTATGTAATTAAGCCCTTCAAAGTGTCCCCAAAACTCCAGACAAAATTAATGGAGTTCTTTATGAAAGAGACAGGCTATAATCTTTTGCGATGAAAGACATACCATGAGCCCAACTTTCCATTCACATACTGAGAAGAACCTACACATAAAAAAGAAGCTTACATCATATCATTTTTTCTGTAAAACACATCTCCACTGCAGGAACACCTGTCTCAACTACAGGAACCCAGTTAATGTCTGGATGTGTCTATCAAAGAAGAGATGTCATATAACTGTACAGTACAGCTAAATGGGTGTAGTTGAATTCACTGAATGCTTGAAGGGGTAATTCTAGACTAATATAAATGTTGTAGCGCCATGTTTTGGTTTTCTTGCTGCCCAGAATTGATGACAATACACACCATTCATCACTATTATCACTTACAAAAAAAATTTCCTGGCCTTGGCTCTCATGAGTTAGGTTTACTGGGTAACGTAAATTCTCTCAGGCCGACCACTTTCTGTCGATCTTTCCACTTTCAAGGGTGCGCATTATAACCTTCTAAACGAACTCTACGATAAAGAGTGCTAATGACTAAGCTGGGAAGAGCGGTTTCCATTCATCCGAAATTCGTAGAAAATAACGTCTCGCCATTACGTCACAACCCGGAATTTCTCAGAGAACTCGAATCTCTGAAGATAGGATTTCCAGCCGGGCACAGGGATCGTCTCCCGTCCATATGGATTATCAAATTCCAAATTTACAATTAGTGTGTCACTGTCCTCTCCTTAAAGCAGAATAAATAATCCCAGGGAGAGGAATTAGGATGAGTTCGAAGTAAAGGGGACTTGACGCATTCATTTTTAATTTTAGAAAGTGCGCAAAAGCTATGGCAGCGTCGTGGCCGATGCTGGGTCTAATCAATCTGATTCACGGGGAGTTGGGCACTTCACGTGAAACTATGTAATTATTTGTTTGGCACCTAGAACCGTTGGAATTCTTAAATACGGGGCAAGTAGGGGAGGGGAAGACGAACCAGCTGCAGACCGGAGGGTAGGGGGAAGAGGGCTGCTTTTCCTCTATGGCTTGCCGAAGAGGAGTGGCCATTTCTAGGGCCGCCAGCTGACCATTACGGTCGTGAAATTCATGTTGTCTGACAAGCGGAAATAATTCAATTAACGTACAATACAGAAAAGGGAATAACAGAACATGACGTCGGCTTCGTCAGGATACTGCGCATTTAGGCAGGAAAAGGACCAAAGTATATGGTGGAAGTTGCGCGAGGGGGTGCAGAGGAGGTACTGCAAGATATTTGGGCATACTTCTGTTTTCACTTTAGAACCCAGCCACGCTCGCTCTTATATTGACGTCACTGGGCGCTGAGCACTAATGTGATCATCATTTGTGATATTTGGCAGAGAATCGTCTGATTCTCTGCCAAAAATCCATTGGAAAGCAGTCTTTTTCAGCGGCTGGCTGAGAACCTCAAGACCTGTCTGTCCGGCCAACGGTGACTTTATACAGGTTTCTCCGGACTGAAAATCCTTGAGGGTACATCACAGTTCACATGAAGATGGTCATGACCAAGAACTGCTGGAAGCCTCTTGCACCCATTGGCCCGGAATTTGCGCAAGGCTAACGCAAAGACGCTCGAAGGCCAAAGAGTGGCAATCAGTTGGAACCACATTAACGCAACTTCAGAGACACCTATGTCTATATATAGACTTAGCAGTTCACACTTTAAAAAAAAGGGTATCGAAGAACCACTTGAGAAAGTCTTTCCATTCATCCCTCACTGTTGTGGGCTTCCACATAAATTTACCCTACCGAGCAAGGTGTGGGCTCAATTTCCAAAGGATGCGACTTTTTATGTAATGTGTGAGCCTAGTCCAATAAGCTATTCTTTTTCGAATGACCTGCTAACGTTATACCAAGGCTTTAGAAGTAGAAGAACCTAGTATTATCAAGTTTTATCACGTATACCTAAACCATAAGCATAGGCCTATAAAGGAATGTACACACTACAAGCTAGAGCTTATAACTAGATAATTTCGCATTTGAGTCGGTTTGGCATTTCTTAACGCTTTCCATGTCTGGCGAAGCGTCGGGGGGTAAGTGGGGGGCACGTGCCCCTTCCACAATTATAAAAAAAAGCCGTTTTAAGAAGGAAAAAAAAGATGCATGATATGCATGGAAGTAGTGTCCCAGAGTTTACGTTCCCAGTTGCGGGTGCTAATTGTAAATTGTTTTGTGGATATGCCTAGACCAAGACTGTATGTACTCACTCTGAGAATGCCGACGGCCTACATGTCGAGACGAGGTGCGTCAGTTGTTCACTGAGGAGTCTCCATCGGATGAGACTGTAGCAATTCGACTTATCCCAAAGTCAGGAATAGCCGTGGCGCAAAGTCCATTGCAAACCACCCTTCGTCGGCTACGATGCTCAACTCCTTCACCCTCCTCCACTTGCACTATGCCTACATATGCACCCCTCCAACCACGGAAGCCGCATACGAGCGCTTTACCATTTTGATGCTGAGTGAACCATCTGGGATCTACTTTTATAATTAAACGCTTAAGTATTTAACGAACCGATGAAACAAGGTTTAAGCGTAAATTAGGCTCCATATCACGAAACTGGGACAATTTAAATGCGCAGGTACTTCCAATAGATGTGCAAAAAATCTGCTTCCGTGTCTCTCAAACATGGCTACCTGCAGCGTGACCAGTGTAGGCACCGGGCGGCAAGGCAGGCATGCCGGGCATTTTTTATTTGCATTTATAGTTCTCGTAGTGAGACGGCTTTTCGAAAGGGATGAGCAAAGGAACCAAATAATTTCTGCATCTTCAGATCCATAAAGACCTAGTCAATAGTAATGGACCTCTAAGATAGGATGACCAGATCGTCCCGGTAATACCGGGACAGGCCGTTTTCTCTGGAACAGCCCCTGGTTTTGAGGTACTGCCCTGCTCGGAAAACTATCCAGCGATTTTTCCTTTCAGTGCCACTCATTTGTAGCAAGCAGCTCATCGGCCTATTGTCAACCGTAAAAGGAGGGAAAATGTCTCGGATTTTCCTTTTTAAAAAATATGGTCTCCCTACTCTAAGACCTAACGTTAGTTCTTTTGGCCTACGCAAGCGAAACAAAGCCATAAGTGAAGCATAGGCTAAAGTGCATTGGTACTGAAACTGCAGCCCGCGAAGGCCTCGCATGCGGCCAGCTATGGCAAAACGTACCTTCCAGTAAAGTGGACTTTTTTTTTTAGCAATTTTTTTCGGTGCCGTCACCGCAAGTTTGGTCACTTTCAAGTGTGGCCCCCGACTTAAAGAGTTTGAGTACCACTGCTATATTGTATAGGTGTCTTGTTCAGTCCATTGTAGAATATGCTTCTGAGGTCTGGGATGCACACAAAACATGTGACAAGCTCTCTGGGCAAGCTGGGAAAATGCTGTCCCAGTCATCACCTACGGTAGGAATGTTTCAGATGTGAGTGCAAGTCATGAGAAACAGAGAGGGTTGGGTGTTCAGAACTTCCCCCTTCTTACTTGTGCACAACCTCTTTCATAAGGTATTGTAAAAAGAATTCAATTTATGTCAAGTACTATTGACTTTGACCACAAAAGAAATTAACCCTTTTGCTTTGGAAAGAGAAATAGAGCTTTTTTTCTTTGGTACAGACCCATGTTATTTTGGGCCATACTCAAAATTTTACCTGATTGCACATTGTAAGGCACATGTGTTCATTCTAATCAAGTTATGGAATGGTGCCTGTTTTATCACATTTATGGAAGCTCTAGCACTCTTCACTCATGAGGCTGCACCCAGCTGCCCTTGGTCAAAGTGACTTAATATCTTGGCAGCATACTACCACCTTCCATAACAAAACTATTAGTATCTTCAGAGGAATTGTATATGTACCTGTATATGGATGCTCAACCCAACTCTACTTGGTTGCAGGCAAAATACCATTTAAAGTATTTGTAGGAAATTTACAGAAAGCCACAACCAACATTTTGGAGTGGTTTTATAAAAACTTGAACTAATGACCATGTTAATCATGTAATTTTTTTCATGTGATATCAAATGATTCCTGGATGATACATTGTGGTATGATTAGTAAGACTCTGAATTTAGCAGAGAAGGTACATTTTTGAAGTGCACTAATTGATGCATTGAGGGTAAAAGCCATCTAAGGGACTTTAGAAGTTATTGCCACAGAAATGTTGGGGTGAGAAGAGGCATTGTTGCAGGTCATTAATCCATGCTGCTACTTAAGTTTCAATTTTCAAGGTATCAAGATAGTTTACTGGTATCAAGAGGTGATAACATCCATTTGGATATCACATGTTGAGGTTGAGCATTCCTTAATTTTAGGGTAGGCCTACTCCTCTTAAACCTAAATATATATCTATATATTTTGCATATCCTAGTTGCTTACTACCTAGTCCCTTATGTCAACATTGCCCCCCGTTTTGCATGTCCATAAAAGCATCTAGTTTCTTCTTTAAAATAGTCATGGAAGGTAAAATAGTCACTACGTCATTGTCTGATGTATTCCACGAATTCACCATTCTACAAGTGAAAAAGTCCTGTCTCAACCTGAGCTGTACCTGCAGTTAACACAACTTGAGTTGATTACCTCTCATTCTCTTGCTGCCATCAAACTGGAAGAACCTACCATGCTCAATATGATCTATTCCTTTAATTATCTTGAAAACCTGGATGAGATCGCCCCTCCTTAACCTTCTCTTGAGTGAGTACAGTCCCAGCACTTCTAAACGATTCTTGTAATCTTTCTCTCCATTTGCTTCCCCCAGTTTATCCTTGCCAAAGGCATTGAGAGTCCTACCGTTGTTTCAACTGACATGGAGACCTTTACATTTACTTTTATTAAACCTCATGAGCCATTTCTTGCTCCACTTATCCACCCCATTTTCAATATCATTCTCTGCACAAAATGTTGGCCTAGTATATCCTATTGTAGAACATGTGCAAGTAAGCTTATGCTTTGGCCTACCATTTCATTGAGAACTTGAATGCTGATTTGCAATATTTAATCAACCTTTTTTCATAGTTATTTTGGCCCTTGATTGTTTTAGATATTTGAGCCATAATGCCAGGAAGGAAAAGGAAAGCTAGTCCTGTAAAAGCAGACATTGTTTCTTCTACTCATGAAGGTTAGTTGAATCATTTTCTCTTTAGAATTAACTCTTCTAGGTTTTCATTTCCTTAAGAATGTCCAACTTGCATTCCAAAAATATGACATACAATCATGCTTGAAATCTCAATGTATTGCACGAATGTGAAATTTCTTAACTGAGGCATTGCAGCCAAAATGTCACTTGTCAAAACTGAAATGTGAAACTGTATTATGCTGAGTCTTATTATGAACTTGAACAAAGAATCAGGTAAGAAATTTTTTTTAATTTCCTAAACCAGTTGCTCAGAGAATGTCCCACATGTACATTACCTGTCGTTTCTTTATTTTTTTGCCATTTCTCTCAAAAATCTGCATTTAGTGCAATTTCAAAATAATAGTGAAAATAAATGCACATCATTTTAATTGAATTCTTTGGAGATTTTCCAGGAAGTGAATCCGAAATATCTTGCAACATTATTTCTGGCATTACTTTTTTCCTGTTCATTTTTCTGAGCTCTTTTTCATGAAAACATTCATAATTTTGTCCAGTCTGTGAATCAACCACAAATTTCAACTATTTTAATGTCAGCTGCTATTAGACAACTAATTGGTTGCCATGTTTATCATGAATTTAAAATGTGTGCATTCCCACATGAAAATTTCATATATGACCATATAGTGCAATACATATATGAACATATGTGAAACATGTATGGGGATTGATACAAGTCACATAAAATCATCTAAGAGTGGAAATATATGACCCCATACATTTTCATATATTGGCTCATACATATGCACCATACACTGTCCATATATGCCATGTCATACGTATGTATGGTGAGATTACCCGAAACATGTCTGTATCAAAAAAGGGTCCATAATCCATAAAATACTGTATGATCATTCATATGCAAGTCACCATACTTAACTTGCAATCAACTCATTTTCAATTGTTCCTAGACCACAGTCAATTACTCCAAGAATGCATGTTTCATGGTGTTCAACATATACACCCTTGTTAATGAAGGTGAAAGTTTCAATATTATAGATTTGGACCTTCACAAGTATTTTCATCAGTAATGCTATTTCAAGACAAAACTTGGCTTTCTCATGCAGGAGTGTCTTCTTCATTTTGACTGACAACTCAGAAGATAGATGGGAACAGAAACTGTATTTCTTTCTGAAATTATCCGATGAAGGAATTGTTCAATGAAGGCAAGGGACAGCATCACATGGTATGGCATGTGCCTCCACTTTACAAAAAAAGAACCCAAGATGTATGATAACAATGTCCCAGAGTTCCCATGTGCCACTGGCTCACCATCATTCTCCTCTGAGACACAGTGCACTGTTGCTTGCTTTGATGACTTAACAGTCTGCTTCTTCAGTGACCTTGATAATGAAGGTGAAAGTTTCAATATTATAGACTTGAACCTTCACAAGTATTTTCATCAGTAATGCTATTTCAAGACAAAACTTGGCTTTCTCATGTAGGAGTGTCTTCTTAATTTTGACTGACAACTCAGAAGATAGATGGGGAAAGAAAACTATTTCTTTCTGAAATTATCCGATGAATGAATTGTTCAATGAAGGCAAGGGACAACATGACATGGCATGTGCCCCCACTTTACAAAAAAAAAACCCAAGATGTATGATAACAATGTCCCAGAGTTCCCCCCACACTTTCTTCATCCACGATACACTTATGCTATCTAGAGAGGGTAGGGCCCAGTTTGAAATCCTGACTGGAATTTTTCAGGTGGACAGAAGCTGTATATTCTGACCATTTACAGTTGAAATTCAGCTGCTTCTGTAGATAGACTTCCAGCAAGAATAGCCAACAAAAACATTCTCAAGAATGAGAATACCAGTGTATTGCAATTAGGAACAATCTGGATCTGACTTTACTTTCCAGCTGCTACCCAGCTGGAATGGGTCTGAATTTCCAACTGAGATTCAGCTGGAAATTATAGCCATTTCCAACAAGGATTTTCATCTGGGGGGGTTCAAAATCAAACTTTTGCCAAATTACTTTAAGGGGTTATGCATACTTAATATTTCATGTAAAATACAGGGTGGCGCAAAATAAGCTGAACACTTTTTTTTCTCTGTAACTTTAGAACGAAATGTAATAAATGAACTATCTAAACGGTGAATGAAAGCTTTTTTCTTGGAAATTTTTTACATTATATGTGAAAAATCATATAGGCCAAATGACCATCCCGTTCTTGCTCACAAACATGTGCTCTTCTCACAGCGTTTTCTATGACATTTCTCAGAGTTTCAGAAGATATTGCGGCTATCTCATGCTGGATGTTCTCTTTTAGGGCCTCTATGGTTTGAAGGCTATTGGCATACACTTTATCCTTGAGATAGCCCCAAAGAAAAAAGTCTGGGGCTGTCAAATCCAGCGAGCGTGGTGGCCATCTCACATCACCAATTTTCGATATAATGCGATTGGGAAAATGCTGCCTTAGGAGGTCCATTGTGGCTCGAGCAGTGTGAGACGTGGCGCCATCCTGTTGAAACCACATATTGTGGTGTTCTGGTAGCTGTGGTATCAAAAAATTTTCAATCATTGTCCTATAGCGCACTCCATTGATCGTCTGAACAACACCATCATCATCCTCAAAGAAATAAGGCCCAATGATGCGTTCGGCTGTTATGGCACACAAAACCGTTACCTTAGCTGGATGCAGTGGTCTCTGGTGAGTTATTCTTGGGTTTGCACTGCACCAAAATCGACAGTTTTGTTTATTAACAAAGCCACTTAACTGAAAATGGGCTTCGTTGCTCATCAAATTTGAAATAAAATTCTCATCATTTTCTGTGAGGTTTATGAAGGCACGGGTGTATTCCAGACGCGCTTGCTTGTCTTCGGGATGAAGGGCTTGGACTAATTGAATCTTGTACAGAAAGTGATGCAAGTCCTTACTCAAAATTCGCTGCAGCGAGCAACGAGAGATCGCCAATTGAGCAGAGTGTCTTCTGGTCGATGTTTGGGGTTGATCTGCAACACTCTCCCATACACGTGCAATGTTTTCTATTGATCGACCACTACGAGGTCTTCCAGTGTGTCTGGCATCCGCAACAATCCCCCGTTCTTCAAAATTTCGAACCGCAGTGTAAATTGTGTTCCTACTCAGTGCCTCACGAACTTTATAAAATTCTCTATATGCTCATTGCATTAGAACTACTGACCGATTGCTTTCCAAGAACATTGTGACAATTTTGGTCCACTGAGCAATTGTCTACCTCTCCATAATTAAATTCTCCAAGGGTTACCAGTAAGAAAAACACAAAAATTGCAAACCTAAAAAATACTTTAAAAGTTATGATTTTTTTTAAATGTTCAGCTTATTTTGTGCCACCCTGTATAATAGGTTCATTAAAAATAAGTTGCAGAGGCATCTGAAGGTCAATTGCCCTCACTTGTAACAACCTCATGCAGTGGCGTATTTTCTAGGGAGGGGGCAGGGGGGTGCGGTTGCTCCCTTTGGCATCCCTGGGACAGGGCTTGGTGCCTCCACTCTGCTGCCCTGTCCCCCCTGACTCTTCAGCCAAAATACACCACTGACTTCATGCTATGTTTTACTTACAACCATGAGACTTGTCTATGCATATTCACTACATATCAGGCATTATGCCATTTGCCCATCACACATAATATTGCAATGCAAGTAAAATATATTATGCACCATACAATTGTTAATATATTAATACATATATGGTGGTATATGGCAAATATGTGATCATACATGACCACACAGAATCATGCACCCTATCATACATGGAATTTTCAAGTGGCTTGTCATTGATTAACATTTTGGATATTGTTTGTGAAAGTGAAAATTCTTAGATTTCAGATAAATTGATAAGTTGTTTGATTGGGGCATGTTTGCCCCACCTGCATCCATAAGATTTCATCACATTCCTATAGAAAATGCTGTCTGGCAGAGTTTAATGTGAACTTCCATGAAACCTTTTTTTCCCCAATAAGTCAGTTTTGAAGATTGAGTGATATAGCAATGTTGATTTCTTTAATTGAGAACTCAACTGCTTCTTCCCACTTACTCTCCATTTCTGAATACAAACATACAAATCCAATGTTAGGAATATAACATTTTACTTCCAACATAAGGACTTTCCCTTAAGGGATATGGCAAACCAAGTAAAACTTTATAATTTTGCATAAAATTATAGTTGCATTCATGTGAATTTAAGGATGTGGGTTTGCAACTTCTTGTGACCTTGCTATGATAAACGACTTCCATTTTCAAATGGATAAATTGAATATCTCTGTAATTCTGAATTGTAAATATATAGATAATAAAAGAAAGTAGGAAAAAAAAAACAACATGGTATTTATAAGTGTTTTTCTGCCTCCAAATGGTAAAACTATGACTGAAATTCACCTGCATTTGCATGAGTGTTTGAGAAAATCCTCAAAGTATTTTCAATGAAATGCAAAATGCTAGTGATGTGGCTTCTATATCTGAGGCTTGATGATAGTATACCAAACAGATTTACTTTGCAGAGTTACTTTACAAATGCACTTTCAATTTGGTTCTCAGAGACCTTCAAACAAAATAGATTTTGATTTAGGAACTTTCCTTTTAGTGCACAGTGTATAGCTATGCTCAGTTATATTATTGAATGCATCTTGTGATGACCTTTTGTAACTTTGTATCATAAAGGTGACTCAATGTTAACATTGGTATTGTAGGTAAAAAGAAGGGGACTGAAAAACCAGAGCAAGAAGGAAGCAATGGCAGTTCTGGTAGGGCACCAACTGCTAGACTGAAGCATGGACTGTCTAACAACGTATCTGCCCAACATGGGAAAGAAATCTTGCCACGCAAGTCAGCAACATCAAGGTCACTGAAGAAGCAGACTGTTAAGTCATCAAAGCAAGCAACAGTGCACTGTGTCTCAGAGGAGAATGATGGTGAGCCAGTGGCAGATGGGAATGATGGATTCTCAAAAGAGGAAGTCAACACTGCATCACGGGTGCCACCACGGCGGAAAGCACCACCTGCAAGACAAAAGCATGCCCTATTGAACAATGCAGACACTAAAGATGGGGATGAGATCTCTTCAGTATCAAGTACCACAAAGCCTTTGAAGAAACAGCCAGTTACTTCCATTCAGAAGCAAGAGAATGAAGGGGCAAAGGAAGAGGGGAACAAAGAAACATCTCATAAGACACAGCCTACCAGATCACAGCGTGGGCTGCCAAGCAGTGCATCTCCCCATGGTGCAAATAAAATCACCCAGCCAGGACCAACTACCTCAGAACCATTGAAGAAGGAGGCTGCTGTAAAATCATCAAAGCCTCCATCAACTGCAGTTAGTGCAGCATCTCGTACACAGAAACGATTAGCAGCAAAAGAGGATTCAGAACCAGTACCTGTTGTGAAGAAAAAGGCACGACAACGCCCAGAGGCTGTGCCTTCTGACTATCCCATTACGATACTTCCTCAACTAGAAGGTATGTAACTCCAAATTTAAATCTCTCAATTTGAAGTCTGCTCATATAAGACTGCATTCACATTACTCTTACTTGCTTCTAGGTATATTCTTGGAGGTAAGATATTAGCAAATCACAATAGTCATTAGAGCTTGTCATTGAAACTTTAAATATTTCTCTTACCTTTTGTGTACTTTTTCTAATGGAATCTAATAGAATCTTATTTCATAGATGGGAAACTCATGTGTGATGGCCTAGGTATTCTATGCAGGTGACAGTATACCTGAAAGTTAACATAGCCAGTCTGAAATTTCCATTTTATTTTCAGCTGAGTACCTCTGTAAGAAAGGGAAAGTATATGTGAAGGGGCTTGGTGAAATGGGACAGCTTGGCTTAGGTCCTGATATCATGATGCGCAATTTCCCTACTCATATTAACAAGTTTGATGCCTGTGTCTTCATCACTGCTGGTGGCATTCATACTGCTTGCATCAATGAGGATGACAGCCAGGTGAGGATTGTGCAAGGTCTCAGATTGAGAAGAGCCAAACAGAGTAACAAAATGACAGTTGTAATGTTTTCTTAGGTCTACACCTTTGGATGCAATGATGAAGGTGCTCTTGGTCGTAGAACTGAGGAGGAAGAGGAAAGTTTTGAGCCCAAAACAGTCCCATTGCCCTTTGCCCCAAAGAAATGTATTCTTGTGACAGCTGGTGATTCTCACACTGCAGTCCTGACGTCTGACTTCTGTGTGTACGCCTGGGGTACCTTCCGAGTCAGTCTCTTTTTTTATGATGATCTTAGTTTTCCCTGTCATTAAAATGTCATTCTTCCTGCTCTCCTTTAATGTACATGCCAGAAACCTGAATTCTACAGCTTGGATGGATAAACCAAAAATCTATTTTAAAAATATATGGAGCTCAGCAATGATATTTGTCAATAATTAGCACTTTCTTGGGGAAAAGGAAATTAATTTTAAAAACTTACATTAGGACTCTCTTTGGGTGTGAAATGGAAAAGCAATGTCTTGAAGAAGGATGAGACAGCCTGTCTCTGAAAAAAGTTGCATTCAGCAGGAGAGTAAAACATGATGGATTAGATAGGGAAATCAATGCCATTGCTTGCAAATTCACATTGTAATTTGAATGCTATATGGAAGAGGGTTCCATGTCAAAACATCAAAATGACAGAACACAGACGAGACAATAAATCAACATGACAAAACATCGACTGGATGAAACATCGGCAAAATGAAATGTCAGCATGCCAATTAATTTTTTTCCTATTTTTTATTTGAGATTGCTAGTGTTATATAACTTCTGAAGGGCCTTACTGCGATCATCTGTCAATCCAGGATGACTGATGAAAGACAGATTGAAGATGACATCATGACTTCAGCAAGCATCTTGGGGCTATTCATGCGTCAAATATGTACAGTAAATTTGCTGAGTTGCAGTTTGTTTTTCATCAAAGACAGTTGAAATAAAAATGCATTTGGGCAGATTTCTGAGATCACAGGATATACAGTATGTATATGGTGAAGCTGAGATTTTGTAATGAGAAAATTTTTAAATCTTCTAATGGAAGTACCAAATTTTTTGCATTTTATTGAATTGTACACATTAAATTAAGAGGAATTCAAACCACGTAAAGAGAGACAAAATGAAAAGAATAAAGAATTAGAATAAGGTATCACAATTTGTAAACGATGAGAACAGAAGAACATATTGAAAAGAGAAGCCTGTCATTGCATGGTACACTGTAGCAGATCAGCATTACACCTGGAGATTGAAATTATGTGCAATCCTTTGTAAATACTCTTTCATTAGTTGCTGCTAATAATTCAAAACAATATAGTTTATTCGAGAGGGCATTGATGATTAATTTTATGGCTCGGAGGAGAGTCTTGTCATGCTATATACTGTTCCATCCTGAGTTCATTCAGACTCTGTTCATTCTTGAGACAATCAATAAACTTCCATATAGAAGAATAATTAGCCACAAGATGCTTGCTGAAGCCAAGATGCCATCCTCAAGCTATCTGCCATCGGTCATCCTGGATTGATGGAAGATTGCAGCAAAGCCCTTCGGAAGTTATTTAATATTAGTGGTCTCAAAAAAAATCAGAACAAATAAATTGGTCTGAGGTACGGCTCATATGTTGACATTTCATTTCATTGATGTTTTAGCATGTCAATGTTTCATCTTGTCGATGTTCTGTCATTTTGATGTTTTGGCATTGATGTTCTAATATGATACCATGGAAGAGCCATTCATCCATTGTTTACATTATTCAGGATTGAGAGATTCCAAGGAAGTAATGAGGAAGTGCTTAATCCCTTGGCATAGATTTTCATTCCATTCATAAATGCTTGTCTTCCCCATTTTCCTACTACTATGCAAAATGATTCCTTTCCACTGGGTCTATTTTTGATTCTGAAAACAAGATGTTGCTTTGACATTTCTTTTTGAAAATCTCTTGTGAACTTCTATAAGATTGAAAGTTCTTATGACAAGAGCATATAATATTTTCTTTCTTTGCCTTGCTTCTTGGCTCATCTCTTCTCATGTCACATCTGGTTTTCCATGCTGGAACAGAAAATGAAGCTTCATCCATTTGATTTCCTTTGCTCAGCTTTGATTTTGAGCACCATTGATGCCTGCAGCAATCTCACTCCTGTTTTTTCCTTAGGATCTGCATGGACCACTGGGTCTTTTACCCTCTGGTATTGGTGGCATAGTGCACAAGGCAGAGTTAATCTATGCAGCAGAACCAGTGAAGAAGATTGCTTCAGGCGAGCATCATTTGGTGATATTGACTGTGAATGGTGGTGTGCTGTCCGTAGGCTCGCCTGATCAAGGTCAGCTGGGTCGTGTGCCCAGACAACGCTTGGATCGTGGTGGGCGTCTTGGGCCAAGTAAGTGTCTCCAACTGACTGACCTTTATGATTTGAGTCCTATTTGGCAAAGGAGATAATGAAGGTGGTATGATGTTGTATATTGTGTTTTTTTTCAATATAATTTTCCTTCACAGGAGATCTGTTGGAGCCACAGGCCATGAAGCTTCCAAGTAGTTTTGGACAAATTGTCAATATTTGGGCTGGAGGAATGGGCAACATCCTTAAAGATGGAAGAGGTGTAATATATGCATGTGGTCTAAATAACCATGGTCAACTTGGTGAGAAGTCCAGTTCATTCTGTTCAAATATTTATGATTGTGTTTCACTTCTTTGGTGGTCTTCATTGAGCTTCATGTATACTGTTTGAAGGTACAAATTAGCAGTTGTGAGTTGCCAAATGGTGACTGAAATAATCAGTGTCTATGAAGCAGTTACCAGTAATTTTTCAGTCAGTGATTTGGTGTATGTTACTGTTACCTTTTGATATTATTCAAAGTAACAGTAGGGTGAGTATCAGCATACTCTTTAAAAACAGTGGGTCATTAACAACTGAACAGTGATTTTTTAAATAATTTCATGTTGACTTAATGAAGTTCAATATGCTGTATGTTTCTAGTGATTAGAGTTTGTCAAAATGTTTTCAAGTTAACCCAAAGTTTACTGTTGCACTTTGCTTGGCTATTATCTTCTCTAAGTGTCCTCATACTTGTAATGGTTTGCTCCCCACTGCCTCCCTAACCACCAATTGCACTTGATATACTCTTCACTCATAAATGTCCTATGTTTACTCATGGACCTTACTCATGCTCCTAAAGAGAGCAATTGGTTACTATTGATAAAATTTGCTTCTAAGTAGTAGTCATATAGAAAGCATCTGATATCTTTCAGGTTTGCCTCTTGTGGATGAGAAACGAGTTATCCTCATGCCAGAAAAAAGTATTGGGTTAGCTGATAAAAAATGGAAAGAATTTGCCCTGGGACAGCATCACACCATAGCTCTGGATATGGATGGTAAGGTACAAAGGCATCTCATATATATGCCTTTAAGGAGCTGGCTCTGAATCGTTTCTTTCTAACAGGAAAAGTTCACAGTCTGGGTCGAGGCCATGATGGTCGGCTTGGCCTTGGTGAGGTCACTGGGGAATCGGTATATCTGCCTCAGTGTGTGCCTGCCCTTGCTCAGATTCACTGTGTCAGCATTCATGCTGGTGAATCTGTGTCTTTCACTATTACTGATGATGGTAAGTCTAATGACACCATTTCTCTTCTCTTGTGTCCATGCCTCTTAGATGTTGCTGCTTGGCTTAGCCATATATTTGCCATTCTCAGATTCTTAATGTCAAATTGCCTAGCTGTTTCAATCTGCCACACCATCTGGCAGTTGTTGAAACATGTTGGAATTTCCAAGATTTGAAGAATCATCCAAGTTTGTGCTCAAAAGATATTGCTGCCAGTTGAAACTATACCTTTTAATAGCATGCCTTTTTAGTTAGTCTCTTTTCTTTAAGAAAAAAAAAAAATTGTTGCTCATGCAATTCCCTTGATGACTTTGTACTATGCAAAAAATGTACAAAAGTCTCACCAATGCTTGTAGGAATTCTCTTGCTTCAAATTCCACCACCAGGTTTTGTTGAAAGTCCCATATGTCGTAAACTTGACATCTGTTTGGCTATTGGAACGTTTCATCTAAATGTAATGTATTATGCAGACCTAATATAAATTTTAAATTTGCAGACTCTCTGCAGAATGGTGGACTGGAAAATTTCCCACTCTGTGCATCCTCATGTATTCTCCTTCCCCTTCTTTCTTCATATTCCCCAATGTCTTGTATCTATGATGGTACACTAAAAGGGGGCATGCTTCTGGGATGGGTGTTACTCGGCTTGTTTTTCAATCTGATTGGTCACTGATTTTCATCTGGGATGCATACTCGTTCATTTTCACTCTTGACTTCATGATGATCTTGACTTTGATGATCTGCACCATTCTCAATTTCATAACCTATACATGGTTCCTTTGGTGCCCTCATTGACACTCCCACAGTGCCACCCTCCTGTCCTCCTTATCTATGCAGACTGTATCCCTCACAGTGGCTAATTCTGACTATCTGCAAAATAACAATATTCCTGGAGGAAGCTTTCTCGTGTCTGGGGTCTTTGTAATTGCTGACTGCAGCTCTTCTGCATGCCCATTTGGTAACCACCTCAAAGTCTCTACCATCTCTTACTCTCAGAACTCATCTCTCACCTTGAGTGAAGCTCAGACTGTTCATGGTGGTCCTTGTACAGGCTGGCGCAAAAGTCGCACACCATAGGGGATTTCACTGTTGCACTACATTAATTCTTGTTTCTTTCTTTGGAGGTAAGGTAATTGAAAAATTAACAAAAGACAAGAGGGTGGAGTTAAGATATCTTCAAATGCCAAGTGTGCAGCAAATTGAAGTGTTTTCAAGCAAATGGCAGACTATTAGAACATTTACTGTAATTTACCCAACAGTACACGACTTTTGCACCACCCTGTACAACTGAGAAACCTGGAGAACTGCTGCAATCCTCCAATGCAAAAATCAATACTCTTGACACAAGCTGCCAGCAATTGATTTGACAGATCCTGTAAACTTTGGACCCTTGCACTTCAAATGTATGAACACAGACTGAATTGACAGACATCATCAAAATGCAACAAGTGTATTGGTGTATGTGGTTTGTATGGATCTGGACTGCCTTCTCATTTCACTCCTCCCCAGACCTCCATTACGAATGTAGACCCTTGGTTCTATTATAAGAAAGCCTAATTGCACAAGATTTCATCTGCTGTGTCCCAATAGATGATGCAAAAGAACTAGCACCAGATTCACTGTACTACTAGGCACTCTTCCACAACTTCACCCTTTAACCTGTAATTTCTCGCTCTTCCTTGCATCCTTTTTCCTCCAGTTATCACTCCCTTCTCCTTTTGCTACTTCATCTAAAAACAAGTATGGTGGTGAACTATCATATACCTCTGAGGTATCATATCTATGAGCATGCATATGCAAGAGGGGTGACCTTAAAGTAACAAGGCTGATTTTCCCTGAGGAGCTGATGAATTCTAGCTACAGGGTGTCCATGAAGTGACTACCTATGGGCAACTTTTTTAGTATAGACCCAGGAATAGCCTTTTTTTTTATTTTTGTCAACTGACAATGTGCCAGCCTCAGAATAGTGTCAGATCTTTTCTCCTACCACTTGGCACAGCCAAGAATTAGTTTCCCACATCTGGTATCTCATGATTTTTTAAAATTTGAATGGAGAAGAACTTCAGACAACGATTTGAGGCAAATATTGCCATTCGACCCAGTTGCAAAAAACTTCTTGCTGTTATCATGGTATTGATTGAATATTAGAGCATTTTGGGAATTCAAAATCATAAAAATTAGGAATTACTCGACATATTGGCTCAATGTATCGACCACCAATTTCTAGACATTTCTGAGCCCATTGTTGGCTCCATCCATGAGAGTTCCATCACTTTTCTGGCACATGACACTTGAGATATTCTCTTTCAAGTTGCTAAAATCTGTGGGCTTCTTCTTGTAAACAATGCCTTTTAAGTAGCCTCAGAGAAAAAAAAAACCACAAGGGGTCAAAATCCAGAGATTGTAGAGGCCATTTGCCCTGACTGACAATCAGAATGCTACGTTCCATATGTCTGAACTTGTAATTAAAACAAGGGTTTGGTAAATTAATTTTCAGCAATAGAGTGTAGAAACAAAAGATGTGATACCATTCTGAAGTCTACAAAACAGCCTGCAAAAATTAAAAAAAAAGAGATACTCCCTGATCAAATTAATTTTAATATAAGCTGTACGGTTTGCACTACAAATAATTAAATGCATAACCATGAGACCATTGGCAATACAGATGACAGTTCACTGAAGCTCATTCAGTGATAATAATTTGTATTTATTTTGAATCTTAAGCACAGAAATGCAATATTAAAAAGTTTTGATGAAATGTTATCAACCTGTGTCTCTCTTAATGGCACTTTAAAAAAAATATTGCCTGTCATTTGCCTTGGAGTCTCTTGCTCTATGGTGATCATTCTATGGAACCTTTGATACTTGAGAGTCAAAGCCATTTTTTGAAAGAATCACCTAAGTGCTTTATGATCATTCTTCCATAGAGCTCCACAATCATTACACATTAGAACACCTGGGCAAGAGTCTACTCTTCTGGTACTAACATTCATTGTTCAAGAAGCTCACTGTATAATTGCTACCATTATGCACATATCCAGTGTGTGGTTTTGTACATGGATTCAATGCAAGACAGTAAATACTTATATCAACCTCAAATCATTCTTTGGTCGTTGTGTGCAGTTTTGATCTGTCTCTTGTCTAATATGTAGTTATTTTCATGTTTTGCATTTTGATTTTGCTCCATTCATTAACCCTGTCTCATTTAAGAAAAACCTCCTTTTTTCCCCTCTCCTTCCTCAACCCCCACCACTTGGCCCAAGCAAGAAGGTTTTTCTTAACTGAGACAGGGATAATTCTAGTTGATTTAAGCAAACCCTGATGGATATTACCCTTTACCTTTCAGGTGTTGTGTATGGTTGGGGATTTGGGGAAAACCTACAGCTTGGCACAAAGGAAGGGAAGGATGCATATGAGCCTGTGATGATCACAACAAAGGATGGTGCCCCCTTCCATGCAAACACAGTTGCTGTTGGGTCCCAGCATGTGGCATTCCTCTCTCAACAATGAACCTGTCATTTCCATAATGCTCCAATGCTTTGGTTTCATTTTACTCACTTTCATTCTTACTATCTTGGCACTTTTTGCCCTTTCATACATGGCTTGTTCTTTATTTGAAAAAAGGAAGACATTTTGTTGAGGAGGATTTCAGAATGACATTCAAAGCATGAAATTTCATAATTGGAGGATTCATGTGGTGAACTCTAGCTAATCCCTACCTCAGGGGCTCAGACAATGGTTTTTTTTCTCTTTACTGGGAGAAAATGATGAAGCTTGACAACTTGAAGAAAATAGGAGGCACGTTACTAAGGTCAAGGAAAATGAAAAAAAAAAAAACCATTGACAAAGATTTAAGAAATGTTAGGCAGCAATGAATTCCATCACTTCCATGCATTTTCTCCATTTGGCTTCATAAGTCAAATGATTTGTTAATGAATTTCAAAATAAATGGGGTCAGGATTAATGAGAGTTCACTGTCCTTTTCTTATTCTTTTTTTTTTTCCTTTTGGACAACTTCTAGGTGATTTCCTGAAAGAATGTTGGAATGGATTTCCAGGTTTATGAATCCTTCACAATTAGAGGATTCATGTTTCTCATCATTTTGAGATCTCTAAGAAGTTGCATGTCTGTGCATTATGTTTGGCATGGCTACAAATATTTCCATTTCTGGCAATAAATCTAGGATTCTCTGAACTTTTGATCCAACTCATTGCTATGGACTGTTATGCAAAGAGGAAGGGTGAGCTTGCGATGTTCATTCTGGGGGTGCAGTGATATTGTTCCTGTCAGACATTAGTAAGTATTGTAAATATAGATATATATGGATATCAATATTGGCAGTAAATGCATCAAAGCTAGAATTTGCTAGTTTTGCACAGGATATGTACTGATGAAATTTTTTGGAGGGAGTAAATACATTCAGTAAACTTCCACATGATTAACTTGGTATTCTCTAAATATTTTCTGCAGACACAGATATTTAAACCAGAATTAGAATTTTCAAGTATATTGCTTAAACTTTGTTATTGGTGCACCTCTAGTTTATTCTACTCTCAACCACCAGCCATAAAATTCCTGAAATTAATGATGAAACATTCTGAGCATTTTTGCAGCCTATTTTCATCCTTAACCTTTTAACTCCTGCATTTTTTCACCACCATGCACTGATCTCTCATGCAAAGTTTTTTTTAGATTGCTGCCTTACCATATGTGCTATAAATAATCTTTTGTGATTTTCTGTAGCATTAGTAACATACCAATAAGTCCTGGATTGGGCTTGGATACTTGTAATTGATTGCACAAGTATATTTAGGCATAGGATTGACAAGGAAAACCAAAAAATGAGTTAACTTGGATGTGGGAGTTAACCCATTGACGCCGGGAACTGTAATATTACATTTTTAAACCCATAGTGTTCTGGAGTCGCTGGGCGTGAATGTGTTAAAGGGATAATCAATCTCGCTTCATTACAGACCAAGCTTTGGTATCTGTGTGGCAAAAGGCCTGAGGAATGCATTTCACTGATAAGTTTGAGCAAGTTTACCTCAGCAGTTTAGAAGATTAGATGTGAATTAGGATAGGGCCTGTTTGCTAGGAGCCAGTGATCTATTTTAGTATCTAGATACTTCAAAGATTATTATTTCTTTTGAGGGCAACTCCATTTTTTTTAAGCTCCTTGTCTGTTTTGATGTGAAGCTTTCATCAATTTTGCAGGAATGAAGCTACATTGCTTCAAACTTTGCCAAATTTTTAAAACAACTCAAAGATGTGATAAACTTGACCTCTGTAGTTTTGTAAGACATATTTCATCCTGGAACAAATTTAAGATAAATGAAATTTGGAAAGTCTGAGAGCATGCTGGAATGGACATTGGTCTGATGGACCATCTCTCTTCAAAGAGCAATCAAGGCAAAGAAGAAGTGTACAAAATGGCCTTCAATTTTGTTGACAGATCAACTAACTGTACAACTAATGGTTCTGTTCCCACCATAGAAACAGCAAAATCTGAAAGTCCTATCAGCCCACATGAGAATTTTTATATCCACTTCACCCTGCAATTAGAGAAATGGGGGCTCTAAAGATTTGGAGTGAACTCCTGACAGCTAGATGGCTGGACTAATTTTGGTGTCAGACACCCTTTGAGAATCATTGGCACATGATTATCTGACCCTCCTCCCATGGATTCCACCACAAGATCTGCACAAGGTGGTGATGTCCAAAACTTCCTTAAACATGGCAGTGAAGTACAGAACTAAGATGATTTGTGCTTAATTTATTACCAATCTGAAGCACTTTTTAGTTGGCAAGTCCCTTGCAGCCTTATTTAATTTGGCCTATAGTCATATGGTACTCAAATATGTTTTTCTTCAGCAAGTTTAAATAATAGTGGATTTAGGAGGAATGGCATATACAGTTTTTCCCAATTGCTAACGTCCGTTTCTTAAAACTACACTTCCGTTTTCAAAACAATTTGAACAAATCCCAGAACTCTGCAATCTTTTCACAAAACTTAACATCCGATTTCATTGCTAACGTACGAAAAGCGAAACTCGAAGTGCGATTTTCATATCTTCACGGACCTTTTTCGAAACTGAACGTACGGAAAAGGATAAGAAGACCGATTCGACGAGCGCCAAGGATGGATGCATGACTGCTGACTACAATCCATTGGCCTA